GTCGGGCCTCGTTTGGCATCATAGGAGTGGGCGCACCGTCTTTCTCCCAATGCGTCGGTTTAGACAAATAGATTTGTTCAAACTTCAGGACATACCGGTGCGGGTTCTCCACCTCTCCCGACGCGTGTTGTGCCTCCGCCTAACACACCAGCCATGGTATCAACGCATCAGTGGTTAGTGACAGTGATAATGACAGTGACAGTGACAGTGACAGTGATAATGACAGTGACAGTGACAGTGACAGTGATAATGACAGACACAATGGCAACGCCAGTGACACTCACCTGCAATTCGATGGCCGACGAGTCCTCGACTATCCTCTGGACCGACATCTGAATGAACTCATCGAAAGAGTCGAGTTGTTGTCTCACGAGACCCTTCTCGTCGAAGTAGGAGCTGATGACTATCCAACAGGCCTCCTGCCACACGTCCGACGTGATCTCCAACGTCTCCTCCTCGCCCAACCCCTCCTCGTCTTCGTACATCACTGACTGTGTCTGCGATCACACGATCGCATCAATTGGTGGCAACCGATGGCAACATATCTTCGCATCAAATGTTGTTTTATTCACAAAACGTTTGCTTTTTGTGTGAATTCAACGCCGAAAACAACACTTTCGGTGTATTTCTCACATAAATAACGCAATCGTTTCCCAAATGAATGCTAAGTTTTGACGAAAGTTTTCAAATTCTTATTCAAATTGACAGCAAATGGACTCATATTTTAAGTTAAGATTTGAATTTAATTTTAAATGACAATTTGAATGACTGTTTGAAATGAGAGATTGAATTAATTATTACATATTTATCGATATTATTATATAGTATCATACAATACAGTGTGTATAAAGTATTTGTCATGATTCATTTACCGGTATACTTAGGGTTACATTAAATTCAAATATATACTGTATAATGGATACAAATCACTGAAATAAGTTGGTTAGTGTCACTCAACGGGCGAACATTTGGTGCATGCATTCCCATATTTAATCATCACATTGTGTCTATAGAATAAGTACTGTTGAGTCAACATTTTGAATATACTGTAGATGTACACTGACTGGTACTGGTAGACAATGGATATAAATGTTACAATACTGGCATCAACACAGGAATGCAATGCAATCAAATTTGTTAATGAATTCACTCCAAACAATTGACCTAGGTGTTAGTTCGTAATTGTTTTCAACTAAAAAATGACTTAAAATTATGAGCAATCATGAGAAATAGAATATACACCTGGTAGATTACATTACATTTCATAATTATATTATAATTTGATACAAATTGCTTTAAATTAAAGACTAAAATAAATTTTTAGCAAAAGTTTCTAAATTTAGAATAAAATTCAAAACAAATTATGACTTTAAGTCGAAAACCATTCCATCGTATTCTTGGTCTCCATATTGTGCTAAAGAAGTGGTATTTGATTCGTCAGAAGAAGACTTTGTTTTGTTAAGTAATACAGTCTTGAGAGTCATCCCCGACAGCAATCCAAACACCAATGCAGTGCTGTCGGGGGACAGTCGGCAGCAACTGATCTGACTTTCAGGTGTGTAGACCATTAGACACGACCCTAAAGCACACATGCATTCCTGTTAACAACAGTTTGAACATATGAAATATCATTTAAGACATACCGGTGTCCAGTTCCCAAATCCTAATGTTAGGGTCAGAACAGGTCGAGTTATACGACAAAAAGCGATTATCCTTTTCCGTGGCCTGTAATACGTCGGGTGCGGCTGTGTGTCCGCTAAGAGTATGTCTGCATTTGGGATAATTAAATGAATTTGAGAGTCAAAGCACTGAATGCGGTGATAATGGACTCACTTTTTGGTACCGGTAGATAAATCCCAGACTAAGACGTCCCCACTTTCCACGCCATTGATGACACAACCCGTTTGCGTAGAGATGGCAATACTCACTGAATTGCTTTCGGGTTTCCATTTCTTGAATAGAGTTCCGCTCTGGAGATCGTAAACGATAATAGAATTCGGAGACGAAGTGTTCAATTCCTGACAAATATATTCATAAGTGTCACCAAAATGTCCACAAAGTGAGTGCAAGAGTTTGACACACTTTACAAACGCTGACCACGTAATGGCCGTCATTACTGATGGCAGACAATCGAGTGATGAATTCGTGGTGAGGTATTCGCAGATCATATAGCAGTTTGCGATTCGTTAGGTCCCAAACCAGTAATGGGAACGGCTTTTGAGTTTCATCGCCACAGACACAGATCTGTCCGTTTGCTGAGACCAGTAGACTGTTGAGGAAGCGGTCTTCGCCCACTTTGAACGTTTGCGATTCGTTAGGTCCCAAACCAGTAATGGGAACGGCTTTTGAGTTTCATCGCCACAGACACAGATCTGTCCGTTTGCTGAGACCAGTAGACTGTTGAGGAAGCGGTCTTCGCCCACTTTGAACGTCGTCTCCAAATCCTGCAGTCATTGAGACAATCATTAGTGCACTGAAAGTGGTGCGCCTGTATGGACACTAACCCCAGTGGTGCTGTTAATCATATTGACGTACATCCGGTTGCGCGAGAGGGCGACCACATACTTGTCGTCATGTAAGCCATAATAAGGCATCATTTGATTCATAACTCCTTTCAATTTGGTTTCAAGCCTTCCTTTATTCAGATCATAGAGTTTGAGTTCGCGGTTGCAGAGCACCNCTGTATGGACACTAACCCCAGTGGTGCTGTTAATCATATTGACGTACATCCGGTTGCGCGAGAGGGCGACCACATACTTGTCGTCATGTAAGCCATAATAAGGCATCATTTGATTCATAACTCCTTTCAATTTGGTTTCAAGCCTTCCTTTATTCAGATCATAGAGTTTGAGTTCGCGGTTGCAGAGCACCACCGCTCGGAAGCGATCAATCATTTTCACGTCCCGGGGCTGACTAATACCCCGGAGGGTGCGAACGGCTCTCTCCTCACCAATACTCCAAACCGTCAATTCGTTGGAGTGAAGGGATATTGCGATCAAATACTTGTCGTCGTCTTTAATGGCAATTAATTGAGTATAACATCGATTGGCAGTCGTGTCCGGGGAGGTGTTGCCCGACACTGACCTCGANCCTCACCAATACTCCAAACCGTCAATTCGTTGGAGTGAAGGGATATTGCGATCAAATACTTGTCGTCGTCTTTAATGGCAATTAATTGAGTATAACATCGATTGGCAGTCGTGTCCGGGGAGGTGTTGCCCGACACTGACCTCGAATCTGGTCGAGAGTAAGACTCAGAAATGGTTGGACTCGTGTTGGGAGGCGGGGGTGAGAGGACAACGGGTGGCACGGGTGAGGGGTTCGGGTAATGGTCTTCCGTGGGAACGTCCACTTTGATGGTGGGCTGTCCTGAGCTTTCTTGTCCTCCTCTGTCATTACTGGGTTGTGGAGCAGATTCATGTCCACCCGAGTGTAGATCCGATGCACCTGTCGATGCCTTACCATAAGGCAGACTATCTGTTGAACTCTTGCGGATCTTATTGGACTTACTGTTGGGACAAAACAAATGGTCATTACATGCGATCCATTCACTACTATTGACCACAACTTTGCGTAATCAACATAAATGACAAACTCGTGTCTAAATCATGTCAAACAAGTGATACAAACATATCTGACCCGTCATTGTCATTGTCTTCCTCGTCGGCTTTGGTCTTCTTGTCGTTCTTACCACCAGACGAACAGTAGGATCCCATATTACGTGCACTTCCCAGCACTATATGACCACCGATTCAATGCATTTATAACACCATTACAATCACAATCACAATCACAATCACTATCACTATATCAATACAATTGAGTAATATTCATAAAATTCTTGTTTTGTATACAATTCACTGTCAACACAATATGTATGTTAACTGTACGCCAGTTATACAAACCTATAGCGAGCAGTCAGTCATACAGTTATTCACACAAACCTATAGAAAGGTTACAATTACCACATTTCCACGAGTATTCTGTACACTTTAACAGATACTACTGTATCAATGTATATGTAGGGTTGCAACGCGCACATTTCAGCGCATTTTTCCTCTTAAAAACTTAATTTATTAAAACTTTTAATTAAGTTCTTGTCTCACAATTCAAACATTAGTTAAAACGACAACCATTTCTATTATCTCTCTTTACATCTTAAGTCCTAATCATGGTCTCAGTGTAGACCCAAAACTTTCGGCTATTTCTTAAATTTCTTTTTAAACTCTTTTTCACTGATAATTAAATAAACTATTCAAACACCTACTGTAAGTCTTAAAGTTGTTGTATTTTTAGAATTATTTTTAATAATTAATTAATTATAAATTACAATTAATTATCAGCAATCACTTCTAATTCATAATTTGATTCATATGACAGTATGATAGCTCTTAGATTCTTATAAGTCACAATTATAGAAACATTATTAATTTTATGATTTTATATTATACATGATTTAATTGATCTCCGCAATTGAATTGGTAAATTTTTGGAAAGTAATTACTGTGTTACTGTATTACGGTAATACGGTATACATGTCAGGGTTTTAAATTTGAAATTGCTCGCATCCCTAGTATGTAGTTTAATTATGACATACCTAGTTTTAGCATCCCTAGTTTTAGTATGACAAACACATAAGGGTTGAACACATGGGAATATTGCCCACTCTTTTAAGGAATATGGGGAATATCCACAATCATGTTAGGGTTGTGCCTATTAATAGTGTGCACTCATTGGCGTGATGTGTGAAAAGGAACCGAAATGTTGGTGAAGCATATGAATGATCACGTGATATAGGATGTGATGATTTGTTGTGTTGTGAATGACAGTCAGACTAATAGATAGTGAATTGCATGCAAACCACTGATTACTGTATTGTCTGTCAATTACCACTGATTTACTCGAAGAGACCACTCGTCCGCACAAATGGTTTACGAATCGCTGAATCTGTGAGTTATGGATGAGTTTGCAGTGAATTTGCATTTAATGGCCATTTGTTTGATAGGTTTGTATCGCCGGAAAAGTTTTACATCAGACCCGTTGGCAACGATAATGAGTTACTCGTGATCGACAGACAGACCACTTATATCTCATTAGAGGGTTTGTATGAAGTAATGCCTGTCAGTCACCACTAATTGTCTGTCAACCACCAGCCCCTCGCACTCAGATCACAGGCATTGCCACTTCTAAGCTAATCCATGGCATATTTGGTATCATTAGACTATTGGCCGGTAATTAAGTGACATATTATTGGTGTTAAGACACGGATTGCACTGATTTGTGGCCACTGTTTAGGTCCGTATCTGATTGTCATCACTCGGGTGTCACTAGTGGGCAAAATCTATGGCCACGAGGTGTTTAAGATCGATGAGACCGAGATAATCCCATTCAGTCGCACCACTCTTCACTTGACTGAAGACCAGATCCAGTATAACAAGAGTTATCTATCAATGGTTAAGACAGTGTTGGATTCGCCATACTTTTACCTCTGCTATACCTATGACTTGACTCATACCCTGCAAAGTCTCTATAATTGTGGACCAGATTTCACGTCTAAATCCTACTTCGAAAGGGTCTGTATTTTGACGAGTTTTCAAATCATGTCAATTGAATTGAATTATCACTGAAAGGCTGACAAACGGTTTGTTTGGAATCACTGGCTATTATCGGAATTAGCGGCTCGACAGGAACTCCAGTCTTATTGCATTCCTATACTACACGGATGTATGCATTCATTGTGTTACATGTGATTGAATTTGATTTAATTGATTTGATTGACTGATTGGCACATTAGTTGTTCACATAAACGGCGTGACAATCAACAGAAAGCAGTTCGTGTGGACAATAATCTCGAGGCGTTGTGTGTCTCGCGCGGGGACTCGCCTTTTCATGCGAGGCATCGACAGCGACGGACACCCGGCTAACTATGTGGAGACGGAACAGATCGTTGAATACGAATCGTCGCAGAGTTCGTTCGTTCAGATCAGAGGCTCAATACCTCTTCATTGGACACAATTACCTGATCTGCGATACAAACCTCCGCCACAACTCACTCAATACGCCAACCAATTGCAGAGTTACCACAAACACATCGAACATCTGATCAATAATTACGGGAAAATATGTTTAATTAATTTAATCAATCATTCGGGACAAGAGTTGCCACTCGAGAGGGCTTTCAGAGATATAGTTAATCAATCGAATAACCAATTCGTGAGATACGAGTCCTTCGACTTCCACCACGAATGCCGTCAAATGCGTTGGGATCGGCTCTCCATCCTTATGGACCGCATTGACAACGAACTCAAAGAATTCAGTTATTTCTTAACGTCTGCTGACAGGTCTGCCCTCAGTCTCCAGGAGGGCGTCTTTCGCACCAATTGTATCGATAGCTTAGACCGAACTAATGTGGTCCAGGGGTTGATTGCCAAACATTGCTTGGAATCAGTTCTCAAGCGGTTCCAGATTATCAATGGTTCCGACAAATTGGAACACTTTCCCGAATTCCTATATCTCTATAGAAATGGTATTTAGAAATCTTGTGATTGTTTTCAATGTTGACAACAAAAATGTCTCAAAGGTTGGGCCGACAACGCAGACATCTGTAGCATTCAATACGCGGGAACGGGAGCTCTAAAGACTGATTTTACTCGAACTGGTAAACGGAGTCCAATGGGTGCCGTCAAAGATGGCATCAATTCATTGGTTCGTTACTACAAAAACAACTTCGCCGACGGATTCAGACAAGACGCCATCGATTTGTTTTTGGGTAACTATAGGATCGATGAAAATGAAGGCAAACTCGTCAAGTGTCCGCTCAAAGACAGACAGGAGTGGAAGTATTTGACGGTTAGTCTCACTTTTAAATGGTTGACTAGTTTATGATAAATTGAGTGAAAAGTACTCCGAAATAAACTCTCATTGAATGCATACAAACAGTTACCGCTGTTCTTCTTGGCGTCGATCGCAATGTTTTTCTTCAGTTTACTCATTCCAACGGGTAATCAATCACTTGTTTGGTTTGTTATCTCGTTTCCGGACATTAAAAGTAATTAATTATTTTGCAGAACATTCGACCGAAACGTTACTCTATTTGTTGTTTTGGTTGGCAATGGTGTCGACAACACTCATCGGGATCTTCTATTACGGTCCAGAATTGGCTGATTATCCAAAACTCAGAGAAATTAAACCAAAGAGACAATCAGATTAGCAAATAGTTTAAGATATTTTTTATTATTTTAGAGACATATCTAATAAAATTTCCAAGAATTTATTGAATCTGTTTTTGTAGAGTTAACTCTAATTTATGTTTTATTTTTTAATTACTTTTAATTTATAATCAGTTAATTAATAATAAAAAGAGTTATTACAGAATGAATGCACAATTTATTTGGAGAAAGCTATTCATGTAAATGATTATATGGTATGTTATCGTCATCTGAAGAGGACTTCGAATTAATAATAGTTTATCTATTTTTGTGTAAATGTTTTTGAAAGACTACTTTATCGCAAAAGCTATAAAAAATCCCTTCTGTTATCGAATCCGATAATTAATTTTCACAGAAAGTCTAGTTTTAGCCTAAAATTTGCTGTCAATTATAGAGAAACTGTGAGTGAAGTCCTCTAAATAACAATATTTAGTTCACAAATACAAATCAAACAAAACTTATAAAATATTTGATAACTTTATTTATAAACATTTCGATAAGCAATCAAACGGACATAAATTCTTGGAGTTAGGTATTAGATCCTATTAAAAGGTATATATTTTTAGTAATAATTGTTTTGCTTTATTGTAAACCAAATACTTTTGTGATGAAAAGAATGAAAGCAATCATTCAACTCATCAGAAAAGTTGTTAAATAATAAGTTGTTTAATACTGTAAGGCGTGTAAAGTGTATATACCGGTATAGTATAGTACACTATTGAAAGTGGACGCACAACAGGTAGAGTGAACCTGGTATTAATAGTGAACCTGGTAGGTCTAATATTGTTAGGTAGGCTTCAGGTTAGGGTGAGAGAGAGAGAGAGAGAGAGAAAGAGAGAGAGAGAGCCGGCGTTTGTTTGGTTTGAGTGGTGTATAGCCTGTTGTTGGCTCACAGAGTGCAGTGAGGAGTGAGTGTGAGCTCCCAAACACAGCCCACACCTACCAAATGGTATGATTTAAATGCATTTAATAGTGTATTACACGTTTAGTTCACTATAACTGGTATTCATGCATTGAGTGAAACGCCTTTTCCTCTCTCCCTATATCTCTATCTCATTGATTCAATTGCTATACAATTGCCGCACATTTTCGACACTAAATTGTATATTATTTGTTCATTCATTCAGTCATTCAGTCATTCATTGAGTCTTTCACTCATTACTCGCGTCTGAAGACAACATTCACTGCAAACTCACAACAAGTCTATGAAGTCTATGTTCACAACTCTTTGACACTTGGCTTCAAAATGTTCACTAATATTCAACTTATTGTTTCATTCACTTAAATATGTTGTCGTTATATCATATGAATAGCTATAATGTGTCATATTTTCTATATATTGAGTGCTATTTATTGAATATGTGTTGAAAAATGCAATGAAAGACACAATTAATGCCAAAACACAAGAAACGGCCAAAAATCGGGTTTACAATTGAAAAGTGATTCACAAATTGAATGAATATTTGGTGGCAAACGAGACATACATGTGAAGGGATTGTCAAAATATGGATCAATAATCATCATAAGTTATATGAGCAGTGTACTATTGCAGACAAAGGTGTTGTTTACTCACGAGTCATATGTATTTACATTCCGTCCGGAAATGTGGTTATAATGTATTCATAACTATATTATTAATATAAATATAATTGAATGAAAAGCACATCAATTGATCTCATCGTATGAATTGAATGATAATTTCACATCAATTGACACATTATTTGCTCAACACTTGAGACGAAAAGTTGAATATAAATATTATAAAAAACTTATTACAAGTAATATTATAATAATAATATGAATATACAAACAGTTGTTATAATACTATCACTAACATTCGTATTAATTATATACCTAACGTAAGGTCATAGCGTAGTTAGCTAAGTTCAATAACAACAATTGGTATCAACGTCACTTACCACTTGTGTCACAACGTGAATTAACAGTAAATAATGATCACCACTCAAACCAACACTTTATCGTATATTTTATGAAATCATTATTGTTTTAATGCTTTGTTAAGAGTCCGTCCTGAAAATCATATAATATAGTGATTGACAACTCATTTCAGTTTTAATATCTTTATGATTGAGTTGATTGTAAAGTATTTGCCATTTTGTCCCATATATTGTCAACTAATTGAACCGCCAATTGATACATGAATTGATTAGTTATAATATTTTATTAGTTATCAAATGCTATTGAATTGAGTGTCAAATCTATGCACAAATGCATTGATGAATGAAATGAATGCAAACCATTGACTCATTATTCAATGTCTGGAGATCTCTAGATATTAAGCCATTTATTAGTGAATATAGTGTTCATAATTGTGACAATAGTGTCATCAATTTGGTGCAACACTAGCAACGATGGCCGACCACTCGGAACTGGTGTCTGAGATGCCGGTGCTCGAGAAGCTCAGCACTCAAGAGAGGCTGAAGTTGGCGCGAAAGAGACGGACCCAACAGCTGAAGAAGTGGTCCCAACGCGAGAAGGAGTTCAATAACAAGAGACGCAAATCGGACGCCAAGACTGGTGTCAAGAAAATTGAATATAAAGTGCATTTCGTGCCATCGGTTATGCTCTTAGAGGCCGCCGCTCGCAATGATGTCGAGGAAGGTCTGCACCACTCTTTCGCTCATTTGTTACACCCAATCATACCCTTTGATCCCATTATCTAATTTGCTTTCAAATTACAATTTTATGCTTTTTTTCTTGCATTTTATGCTACATTTTGTGCTATTTTTATATAAAACTTTGATTTAGCTTTTGATTTATTACTTTAACAAACCGTTTGCTATTTAATTAACCTATGGTTAGCTGTAATAGAAATACAATATGTGATGAATATTCATATGATATTCCTGTGTCTGTGTGTATGATATAGTGAGACGACTGTTGATGTTAGGCGTCTCATCGGACTCTACCAATGAGGACGGATTAACGGCTTTACATCAGGTATTTGACGCCAATATTCTACCCATTCTTGTGTCAACACTCTTACGCTTTAAGCATTTGATCCAAAGTTAATGATCTTTTCTCTCATGCCTTCAATATCGGTATATTTCTCACATCTCTTTCCAATCAGTGATCTCATTGGGAATGACTTGAGATCTATTTTGTGATGATTTGACACTAAAATTGACGTTTGATTTTATCAATGAATGAGTTTTGCTAATAATCTGATAATATTCTGGTTTTTGCTGTTATTTTGCGAAACCTTAAAGTATTATTTATAATGAGTTATGCTTTTTATGTTAATCGATATTATGATTGAGTTAACAATTTTCGTTAATAATCATGGTTTACATTATAAGTAATAGGTTATAGATTACTGTACAGTATATTGCATTATATAATAATTTTTTATGTGTAGGACTAAGGGTTGCCAACTATTCTCTCTATTTTTACCCAATTTTTAAATAGTATATCATTAATCAATATTTGTATTCTGAATACAGTATTCATTATTGTATAATATTTTGCAATTTAGTATTTTTGGACATTTTCTTTGGTTAAGCCCTCATCCCTAACATTAAGACTTTTCTCTTCTCCTAATTATCGTTTTATTCCTGTTTTCGTGATTTAATAAATTAATCATTAATTGAATGCAAGTCTTGAATCACAAGTGAATGAAATTTGAATGAGAAAAGCATTAATTTAAGCAAAGATCTCAATGACTGACTGATCGACTTTTGCCAATCGGGACCCAAATAAGGCATTTCTAGAAGAGTTGTGTCGATAGCTAAGCCTCAGAGGCTTCGAGGGCTTCAAGAGGTCACACAACACATGAGCCGCCGATTCTGAAAACCTCACAAAAATATGTTTCTTTTAGTTCAGTTCATGACTTCCTTTTGTTAATTGAAATTTGAAACTATAGTTGAATGTCATTAACGAATGAATTCCTGAAATAAATAAATATATATTTATTGATATCTAATATTATGTTATTTTTATAAATTGATTTCTTACTTATCATATGTGTTGAGCTTTTTATTACTATACTATTATTATTGCTTTAACTATGGGTTGGACTTTATTATTTATTATTTATTCAAATAGTGTTATGTAATATTAACTTATTTAATTTTTTGTTTATTATTCATGAGATTTAATACCAGTACTGTTTATACAGTACAATGTTACGAATTCATTTTGATGTTATTCATTTCATTAAAAGTTACGTGAAACGAAAATATAATTTTAGCAATTTGTTGTATTCAAGGGGTACTAAATATGTACTATATTTGTCAAATGTACAATTAATTTGTTTTCAGTTATAAATTTCAAAACTTACATTCACTTCAAACCTATCTGAGAACTCATATATAATCAATGATTTTAATAATTGTCTTATTTATGACTTATATTAAGCCCACACCTCCTGACTTTAATTGTTTGATATACAGTATGCTATGAAGTCCTTTGAATGGGAGACAGTTAGCGCCCAATACAACAGAAATTGTCTGACATTTTATTTCTTATCACTAATATCTATAATTGTATGTAAATTTGTTATAATTTACTGTAGCTTAAGAATCCAATTGTGCAACAAATGACTCAAATCTCTGCATTAAAACTTAAATACCTTTTTCAGAATTTATTTTAATAATTATATCAAAACAATGAAATAAATTTCAATGTATTTTCATTCAATTGCTTCACATTCTTATACTGCAGTTATTCTTATGTTATATTTTACGGCAGGTTTATTGCCGATATATTATGCATTATAAATGAAATGAAAAATTTATTTCATGTTTTACGTCAAAGCAAATCTTATTTACGTAAATATATAAAGTTATTTAAATTTGATTAGTTTTAATTTGAAATTTATTTGAATTTAATTTGGTTAATTTTTTATTTTTGTATTTACATATTTAATATTTTACTTTTAACCATAAACTTCATTATGAAAATGGGTTAATAAAAAATTGATTTATTTTTATTTCGCATACAATTTAAAGTATAGTCCAAATCTTATGAACTAAATTTAATTTAAAAATATAGTTATTTACGATTATCTTAACATTATATACATTGAATTTATTTATTATCTGATAGACTAGAAATTTCTTTATTGCAAATTAATATCAAATGAATTTTTGTTTTAGCTTTTAATACGAGAATAACATTTATTCAATAAAATTAATTCACTATTAAAGCTCTCGTATTAATGTGTATATCATAACAAATGTTGTACAACTCAAGTATTTTGATAGCAAACATAACATCACTTTTTGCATATCTATGTTTTAACACATAGATATTAACATAAGCTTTAATATTTGATAATAAGATATAATATCATTTTTATTACATCAGAGGGTCACTAAATCAGTTCAAACCTAATTTTAATAAACATTTTTCTTAATTTAAATATTTATGTCTTTAAATATAAGGGAATATAATTTTAGCTTTAATCTACATTTGAAGCAATGAATACCTGAATCTCATTTTGAGGTTTAAATTAGGAAATTGTCTCAATTAAAGAACCAAAAATATTTACTAATTTTACATTCATTGTTTATTGTTTACATTTAATTTTACTTTTATTCGTAATCTTAATTTTATCAAAATAATAGTTACGTTTAAAATATTTTTGTGTTTATTATATTATTAGATACAGTATTATGTTATTCTAAGACCACTAAACGTGTCTGTCTGCAACATTTTTGCTATTTGCAGTTTTTAGTATTTAATTTTAATTTATTTTTATAAGATTTGGATTTTTGCGGAAAATTCATTGAGTTATTGCTTTATATATTTTTATTTAAATTTCTTTTAAAACTAGATTTGTAGTTTAAATGTTTTGTGTAAACACAAAGTTGTAATAAATATCAATTATGCATTAGTTGTATTTAATTTTATTTTTAGTTATCATTTTATACAAGATGTAACAATTAAAATTTTTTACAAATATATTTATTTAATAAATATTTGCAGGATTTACGAATCGCATTGAATTATAATGTATAGCATTGAGATTATCTTTAAAAACTAATTAAAAATATTTTCTATTTTGTCAAAATATTTCCAAAATAACCAGAATTTAGTGATTGGCCTTCAATTAGATTTATAACACATTCTCATCACTGTTTTCCTCAAATACATCAGACATCACTAACTTATAACTTATATATTAATCAAATAAATCATTGGATTCGTAAACCTTATAACGAAAATATACAAAATCTAGAAATAAGTCGACATATATTTGCCAAATGAGTGCAGTATTGACTGAACCCAAAGGACTCGTATGTTGAGACCTCACACAAGAGACTTAAACTATTATACAGTAATTGATTCAAATCGATCCAAAAGTGTTTCACAAATTTTTTCATTTTAATTTCATTTCTCTGTAATTAAATTGAATTAAATTGAGAAATTCATTGACGACTTCAAACGTTGATAATTTGCGTCAAAAATAATCTTAAAAAGTTATTTTCGTCACATTTGATCCCAGACTTAAGTTTGCAAGAAAAGCTCATAAATATATATAAACTGAACTTATTTTATATTTAATTTATTATCGCAATTGTTCACTACATTCCTATCGCTCTACACTAGTTTCTAATGAAATCCAATGCAAGTGTAGTGTCTTTTTCGGACTTAATTTCATTAATGTTTAATTTATAGTCTTTTTACATACAAATGGTTTTCTGTATTTGACACTCAAATGCATTAAACTTTAATTCCCTCCAATAGTTTGCGCACATTTCAGATTTGATTTGCATTCATGTTAATTAGATTTTCTTATTTAATAATCAAATTATTTAGGCCTATATATAAACATTGATTTCTTGAGGCATATTATGCATTACATTAGACATAGATTTGATTCATTACTTTCACTTACTGTATGTAATATTCTGTATGTAATATTCTGTAACACTTAACTTAATATAAAATTATGTTTTAAATAGTGTTGTATTGATGACAGCGAAGAAATGATGAAACTTTTGATAGACTTCGGCGCTAATGTGAACGCAAAAGACAGCGAGCAGTGGACACCATTGCACGCGGCGGCCACTTGTGGTCACTTGCATCTAGTTAAATACCTGATCAGCAAGTATGACAATAGCTCCACCATTTATTGAATGCCATTTTCTCAACACTTGCCTATGCTTTCCAAAGAGGGGCTGATTTACTGGCCGTCAATGCGGACGGGAATATGCCTTACGATATATGTGAGGACGAGCTCACACTCGACAACATTGAGTCAGAAATGGCCAAAAGGGGTATCACTCAGGAAATGATAGATCAAACCCGAGCCACAAATGAGATGCAAATGCTTGACGATCTCAAGAAGATGGTCGCATCGGGACATGACCTCGAGTACCGAGACGGTCAGGGCGCCACACCTGTGAGACTATAGCTTACAATTATATTTGTAATTATCTTTAACTAATATAAATTCATTGAATGTGTTCACAGCTGCACATTGCTTCAGCCAATGGGTACACCACTGTTGTTGAGTATCTATTAGACAATCACGTGTCTACAGATGAATGTGATTCGGATCAGTGGCAAGCCATACATGCGGCCGCCTGTTGGGGACACGTATGTCATGTTATTATTATATGTTTTTAATGTATTCACATTTCGTCGTCTGGTTGTCCAACAGCTCGATGTCTTAGAATTATTGGTCCAAAGCGGAGCCGATGTTAACGCAAAGACAAAGAATGGCGAAACTCCTTATGATATCTGCGAAGATCCGGAACTAAAGGAACGAATAATTCAATTGAAGAACGAATTGGAGACGAAGAAGGCCTCACATCCAAACCGACTGAAGAGGTCTCACAGTCAGAACACAAGGAGTCATTCGGTTCGCAGGACTAGTATTAGAGAAAAGTCTCAAATCGCCAAAAGAGAGGTAAAAATTGAATTAAAAATGATTACAAAATATGGGAAATTGATGAATCAATTAATTATAGGCTCGAGAAGAGGCTCGCATTCGTCACCAAAAGGAGACCGAAGTCGATGACGACGACACTCCCCAGACATCAGATGCCAAAGACGACGACACCACTGATTCATCACCGGCGCCGCCAACAGATCCCATGCCATCACACCTTAACGGTTACGACTCGACAAATGCCATCGATTTAAATAACATAGACTTTCGGATCGATTCTCATAAGAAATCGATTGATTCTGATTCAGACGTTTCCACACAAAACACTTCAAATCAAATTCAACCGCAAAGTAACTCTAATAATAGTAAAGAAGCGATTGTTATCAGAAACACTGGTTATACGGATCGGGACAACAAACAAGAGTTCAACTCAAACTCAAACAATTCTCCCGAATGTCAGTCACATTTAGGTGCCAATAGGGGGTCGGGCTCTGAGTCGGTCAACATAGAGATTCGTGTGACAGTGAACACCACTCCGAACAACACATATAATTCGGGCACTTTGGCTGATCTCAAGAAACAAAGAGCAGAGAAACACAGGAATAGTTTAACTCATTCTTCATCGTCCGACTCGACGGTCAACCGTATGATCGAATCGGGCCGTAATTCCATAACAAATGTGCCCACAAATGCATTCAACTCTATTAGTGCTAAGTGTTCGTACGACAGCCCACCCTCGCCCACCACTAACATTAGGAAATTCAAGGGAAACCCCAGTGATATCGTCGGCGAGTCCCGGAAGAAGGGCTGTTTTGGGTGTACTATAAGTTAGAGCTTTTGCTTCCATTGCACTCATTCTTTACATTTGTTTTTTGGTCTCTTTTGATGTTCACATCAATTGATTGTATGTTTTGCCTAACATTCCTAACGGACAACACTTAAGTAATTTTATTCAATACTTTGTGATAGTTATATGAAATATGATATAATAATTAGAAATAAGTTCATGTTTTCGAATCGATTTGAATTATAATTTAATTTTAATTATATTTCAAAACTTCTTTTCACTCAATGCATAGTTTTTTAATTATTTTTCTCTTTATATATGCAAATCATATGTGAAGTCTTGTAAAACAAAACTAATTATAGATTTTATATTTGAAAGCAAATTATTTTATTTTATATAAAAGTCTTCGGAGTTTGGATTTCATCGACCGCTTCATCGGATGTTTTTCAGAAACTCTTTGTATTTAATGAATTCATAGAACTTTTTCAACACAATTTGTAATCCTAACTAAAATTGTTATTTCAATTAATGGTTTAATTGTTATCTGATTTACAGAATCGAAATAAATGAAATCCATTAATATTAGA